AATCCCTCAGTGATGACTCTGGATTTAACCATGTGACTTTCTCTGGCCAATGGGATACTAGCAAAGATAGACAGCAAACTCTTGCATACTTAAACGCTAGGATTTGCTCCTTCTTGCTGCACTTGGTCCCCTAACACTACCAGGTGAATGTGCCCAGGTAACCCACAGGATGATGAAAGACACATGGCCGACTTGCCCCTTTACTCCAAGACCCATATACACAAGGGAGGCATTGGCTATCAGAAAAGTGCAGATACATGAGAAAATCATCTGCACCATGAGCCCATCCAACAAAACACCCTGGAAGCTCACTGACCCACAGAGCCATGAGCTAGAAACCTCTGGGTGCAGCCAATATGCTGCCCAGGGAAGGAGTAAGGCAAGCTAACTACTACTTTGGTCTTCATTAAGACCTTTAAGATTTGTGCCTTCAACTTTACCCCAAACCACCGAAGCAGTGTCCATTGAAACATTAAGCCTCTCACTTGATCCCTACTAAGACACATACCAACTCGTTCTTGCCTCTAGTGTCTGTTTAGATATGTACGACACTTCTGCCAAACTAGTCTTCCTAAAACTTTTCTTTCTCTGTATCCTGATCAATGATAAATAATACTTCGTTTCCTAATGAAAAAATACTTTGTTACATCCTAAATACCTATTTTATAGCCAAAAGCACACATTTTGACCTTCAACCCCCTGAGTCTCAAGAGCAATGAATCATAGAATCATAAAAAATAGATAACACAATCTCTCCAGGCTCGCTTTCATGTGAAGAAACAGACTCATGAGGGCCAAGCATCTTGCCCAAGACGACATACTCACTTAATACCAACATTGAGCCAGATTTCAGACATCCTAATTTCCAGGGTAATTCTATTTCAACTGCAAAACGCTGTAAACATTTTGGCCCTTTGACTGAATGGGCTCATGCCCTAGGAGAGCAGGTCCTCAGATACTTTAAGAATTATGAGCAGAGCACTGTGTTCATTTGGAATGGCACCCTGCCACCATGACTGCTTCACCCCCAATACCTACTGAGTTTCATCCTCAATCTCACCTCCAAATTCTGTCAACTGTCACCCCACGTTTGAACTTACCCTTTCTAAGGAAAATCAGCCATTTCTTCTTTGCAGAGAGTAACTTTCTACTTGTAGATTTCAACTTTAGAGGAATAGCCCACACATCCTCACAGCAGCATGTTCACTGCTGAGGAGAGCAATCCGTGCTAAAGCACTTCCTCCGGGCAGCACCAGCGCACCCAGGATTCCCAGCAAACACTGTGAGGCTCGGTTCTTTTATTGCACTTCAAATTCATGAACTGGGGAGTTAGCAATGGTGAAATGGATCTGCAAATCTGAATCAAGAGATGAATTCACAAGAACATCTGCCCCAAGGAAAAAAAGAGTTTGGTTTTTAAGTGCTGTCTTAAGTACTTCATACACTTCAGCAATTAGTGTACATGGAATCAATATTAACTGACACCTAGAGAAGGCATTGGAAATAGCATTACAGGAATGGACCACTTAGTGAGGCATGTGAATCAGAAGTCAAGAGTGAGCAAGACAGTTTCCCCTACAGCCAGGAAATCTACAAATCTGAATCCAATTCACCTTCTAGGGAAAGAAAGAACTTTTAGAAGGAAAGCTGAAAACAGTCAGCCAGGTGGTGGTGGTGGCTCACACCTGTAATCCTAACTACTCAAAAGGCTGAGATCTGAGGATTGCATTTCAAACCTGCCCAGGCAGGAAAGTCTACCAGATTGTTAATCTCCAATTTATCACTAAAAAAGCCCAAAGTAGAACTATAGTAGAGGGCCAGTCTTAAGTAAAAATATGCTAAGAGAGCACCCAGGCTGAGCTCAAGCCCTAATATACAGAAAGGAAGGAGAGAAAGAAGGCAGGAAGGAAGGCAGAAAGGAACGAAGGAAGAAACAAATTGGAAGGAACAAAGGAAGGAAGGGAAAAATGTAGAAGGGAGAAGGAAGAGAAGGGGGAAGGAAGGAAGAAATGAATGAGGATGATAGCCAAATGCATTCATTACATGCTCTTTGGAAGTACAGAGCAGGGAAATTGAAGAGGGGTGAGCACGTTAAGTCTTAGCTATGGAGAGAGGGGTCACTAGAAGTTGAAATGAAATTGACCAAAAACTGGTTTGAGTTCTACTGAGTCCTTTTCCCCAAAGTAGAGTAGAAAAGATAGAATAAATCTCCCACCATGAGGAACTTGGTGTTGTTCTCGCTTAGAGTGAGGCCACCTCAGTCTCTTACAAAGGTATGTCTAGGCTGGTGATTCATATGTAACACAAATTTTTTATTTGAAGATCTCTCTCAGAAGATACAGTCAACTCATTTTATGAACATACACAGAGGGCAGATCAACATAGGGAGGTGGATTTCATCTTGCTGTCAGAAGAATTTTTTATTATGGTAAAATATACATAACATGAAATTGTCATTTAGCCCTTCTGAAGTGCACAATTCGTGGGTGTTAAGTAAATCCAACTGATGTTGCAACTTCACCTACCCACTCCAGAACCTTTTCATCATTCCACATTAAAACTCTTAAATATATTAAACTAATGTCCTCATTTTCCAAGTTCCTGATGATCAGTATTTGACCTCGGACTCTCTGTAGTAAGTGGAATAATATTGTGGAAGTATCATAGTTTTGGACTAAAACTCAAAATGGAGTCCCTCATGCTAAAGTTTACATTACCAAGTTGAAATTAAGCTGTTTATCTGATATTCTAAAACATTAGGATTAGAGACAAAACAATCAGATTTCCAAATAGAACTGCTTACACACACACACATACACACAAAAGGTAACATGAAGTGCCCTAAGTTAGTGGGGTTTTTTGTTTGTTTGTCTTTCTGCTCCCTGTCCCAGCCTTATAAGAAAGTAACTGAAATGATCAATCCACTCTTTGTTCTGTTTCTGCTTCCTTCAACCTTTCTCTGTATGTAAAACCAACCTCTTCTGCTCAGCTTATGGGAACATTTATTCTACTTTATGGAACAAAGAGTTGCTTCATTCTAGAATCAGAAACAAAGCCAATTAAGAGCTGCAAAATAAATTGTTGTGATTTTTGTCCTTTGAAAACATAACATGTGCTTTTCATCTAGCTCATTGCATTGTGTCTTCAAAGTCTCCCCATGTTAGAATGCCTCTCAGAGTTTCTTTTTCCCCTTCGTTCTAAAGATCCAACCCAGGACTTTGTACATGCTGGGCAAGTGCTCTACCATGGAGCTACCTCTCCAGTATAATTAGGATTGTCAATCTTAAAACATCAGTTTCTCACAGACGTTGCAGTATCTTCTATTCCTACCACTTCCATTCCTATCGCTTGTCAGCAAAGCGATATTTTCTGTTGCTGTTGTAACAGCCGTGGCGGCACCACAGCCCCAAGAGGTAGGGAGGGGCTGGTGGGTGCATTCTAACAAAGACTGGACCAACTGACAGCGTTGGGCCGGAAGAAGAGCGACAGCTTCTATTTGCTGTCTCTTGGGAAGTTCATTCTTGGAACGTGGCCACCATGCTGCTGCGAGGAAGCCCAGACCACCCAGCATGGAGAACACCTCGCTCTGGCACCCAGAGAGCCAAGCATCTTAGTCTACCCCAGTCCCAGCGAGCAAAGCCGACCTGCCCGGCCCGAGGCCGCCCCCACGGCCCGGTGGACCTTCTGCCACCCATGACCAGACTCAGGGAGTGATCAGAGGGGACCAGGGCTCCAAGCAGGCCTGTCCTGAAGAACCCCAACTTTATGGCTAGGCCCTTGGCCCCTCCTCCTCCTTCCTGCTGAGGACACACCCCCTCCCGCGACCAAGGGCAGAGCCCCGCCCTCTGAGGGGTCTGCAGCATCCCACGTCTGATTTCTGCAAGCATCCTCTGCTCATTTTTCTAAGCCCAACCCTGGAACTTTCCACAGACTCTCCAGGTCTCTTTCTTGGCTCTGGGTTAGAAATAAATTTTCCTTTTCTTCTTTCTTCCTCCTCCTCCTCCTCCTCCTCCTCCTCTTCTTCTTCTTTTTAATTTGCCAGTCCTGGGGCTTGAACTGAAGGCCTGGGCGCTGTCCCTGAGTCCTTTGGCTCAAGGCTAGTGCCCTACCCCTTGAGCCACAGCTGCACTTCTGGGTTATTTTTTGTGTTTTGTTCTGTGGGTGTTTTTTTTGGGGGGGGGGCTTAATTGGAAATAAGTCTCACAGACTTGCCTGTCCACACTGGCTTTGAGCCGCGACCCTCGGATCTGGGCCTCCAGCGTAGCTAGGATGACAGGCGTGAGCCACCACTGGTGCCCAGCTTAGAAATACATATTCCTTGGCGAGGGGCAGGGAGCAGAGACCAGCGACCTGAACTCGGTCCGGTATCCTGCCCATTTGGTTTCTAGAAGTTGCAGGGGATAAAGAGACAGGGTGCAGAGGAGAGACAGACAGACAAACAGAAGGATACGGAGAGAGACACAGAGAGACAGAGAGAGGGACAGAGACAGACACACAGAGACAGAGCCAGGGCGCGGGCCCCTGGGCCGGGCCGGCCCGTGCGTCCTGTGGCTCCCTGGGCGCAGCGCTCTGGGCGCTAACCCGCCCGGGGCAGGAGCTCCCACGGCCGTCCGCGGTCCGCGTCGCCTCCTGACCCACCCCCAGCTCCGTTTCAGGAAGGAAATAGTTAAAGCCTCGGCCCTCGGGGGCCCGGAGGGGGGCGGCAGCTGTGCGCCCGGCTCTTTAGTAGCGGCGTCGTCCGGAGCGAGCGCGCACTGGAAACGCACCCGAGATCCAGGTCGGCTCGGCGGCTGCGGAGGCCGGGCCCGGGCCCCGGGAGGAGAAGGGGAGGCCGGGGAGGCCGGGGGGGCGGGGGGGGGGGCAGGAGGCGGCTCCTCCCGCGCTTGCTTTGCCTGGCCAGCCCTCGCCCGGGACGACGTTGGAGAGGAGGCGGAGAGCCTGCGTCCGCCCCGCCGGTCGTCGCCCGAGGCTGGGGGGCCCGGCGAGGACCGCCCCCCACGCCCTCACCCCGCGGCGATCCCCGCCGCCGCCCTCCGCGCCACCCACCCTCGCCAGCTGCGGCCGCGGCTCGCCGGCTCCACGGTGGGTACCCCAGGCCGGGCCGGGCCGGGATGGGACGGGACGGGACGGGGCGTGGAGGAGCCCTCGTGCCGCGTCCTGCAGCGCGCGCGCGGGGCACCGAGGGGCTGGGCGGCGGAGGGGCGCGGGTCGGGGGTGAGGAGGCATCTCGGCAGGGCTCCCTGGGTGCACCCCCCTCCCCCGGCCTTTCCCCTGGCGTCCCGGCACCGTGGCTGGCTCCAAAAGTCGGCTGGAAAGTTGGCGCCGCCACTTCTCCCTCACCTGCTTCTGAGTGTGCCAGGGGCACGTGGTGTGTGGGAATTGATGTCTTGGGGTGCAAGAAGCCCCTCGGTAGCTAGTCCGGGGCGGGGGCTTGCCTGGGGGAGCGTTTTCTTCAGCTCATTTCACATAGTGGGGGGGGGGGGGGGAAGAACCCCAGAGGGCTGGTTTTGAGCTATGCGGCGTACACCCAGCTGATGGCTTCCTCCAGGTAGACGGGGAACAGAGCACCTACGGATTCTGACTCCACCAGAGAGAATGAATGGTGCCTTCCTCAGCTGGAGAGCTCAACCCTAGGAGACTTCTCATAGAGTCTACAAGTTCTCCACTTGTAGTCTCCCCGCCCCCCCCCCCCCAAGCCCCCTACGCTGTCAGGAGGTGGAGAGTAAGGTTGATAAGGAGCACTGTGTTCATGGACGCCTGGACTCTGCTTTTGAAGGAAAACAGCCTCCCTCCCCCGGCCCAGCCCGTGTGTTTTTTAAGTATTAACTAACTGGGAAATATCTTTGGCCATCGTTTTACTTGTGCTCACCTAATCTGCTGTGTGTTTAAGTTTGGAATGTCCTAACTGTTGATTTCAGGTGAACTTTGAAGGGTGGAAGAGGAGTCCATCCTGTCCCTTAAAAATAGCTTTTGCTCCTCAGCAACCTCCTAAGACCCCCTAAAAGGAAAAGTGCTGAATCTATAGACATCTCCTTCAGGTTTGAGCCTGAGATGGTTCCCAGAGCTGTGAGTGATGACTGGCAAGTCTGGCTTGACTGCATCACACACACACACACACACACACACACACACACACACACACACACACACACACACACACACACACACACACACACACACACACACACACACACACACACACACACACACACACACACCCTTGAAAGAACAGGCACTGAGTGGGGTCTTCCATTTGGTTTTGTATTTGTCACATGGCATCCACATGCCTTTGACAACGGTCCCTTAGATTTGTAGCTCTGTGTGTGGAAGTGATTTCAGTGTTGGTGTCATTGTTGGAAGGAAGGAATGTGGTTTTAATAATAGTTGGCTCACACCATGGTAAGAGCCTGCAGCCTTCACCTTAGTGTCTGCTAGAATCAGCAGACCACGCAAGCCAAGTGCCCTGGGACTTTGGATGGGGGGAGGGGGGTAGAATCTCCTTATAACACTCCAGGGAAGTTCACAAAACGCCTTTCTGGCTAGCTCCAAGGAGAGCAGGAGTACTTTGTTTTCCAGAAAGGCCTCCATCTCTCATTTTGAGGAAATCTGTTACTGAATATTCCATTCCAATTGGGAAACTAGAAGGTCTTTGGTCACTGAACAGCACAACATAGTTTAGAACTCCCCCCCTCCCCAACCTGGCTTGTGTGCTCTCTTGCACTCGTGCTCTCTCTCTCTCTCTCTCTCTCTCTCTCTCTCTCTCTCTCTCTCTCCCCCTCCCTCCCTCCATCCCAAAGGAGATGAACTTGAGCTTGAGCTTTGTTCTTGAACTCCTAGCCTCTTCAGAAAGCAAATCACGACATTTTGTGGGTTTACTGTTATTTGGACAGGTACTCCAGAGCATAAAAGGCAGGCGAAAACTACTTATAATTAAGACTTGGCATAGCTGGCAAGATACATGGCAGGTGTCTAGTTTTGAAATTCTGATATTTTGTTATGACTTAAGTGCACATGGAGTCTGCAGCAGCAAGACATTACAATGGCCCTCTTCTTGGCTATAAAGTCTTGCCATAGCCGTTTAACTTTTCCAAGACGCAGTTTCTACCTACAGTTGTAAAACTAAACTCTGATAGATAACAGATACATATATGTTACTGTACACATGTACGTATGTATAGTACATGTATATATGTGCCTAGCAAATATTAGGCTCTGAGTGCAAACTATAGCTGAAAATAAGAAAAAAGAAAAGAAAAAAAGAAACTTTGATACCATCTTTGACTTGAAATTCTGCTCAACCTTTCTGAATCTGTTTCCGGAAATACGCTTTCAACTTCGTGGGTTCATTGCATGAATCAGAAGACAATACATACATCAATGGTACAGTGCCTGACACAGAATCACACGGCTATGTAGGATGTTTACAAGATTGCATGGGGACGGGAAAACAAAGAAGTATAATTAGTTTGGGAAAGTCTTTTACTCTCATTGCACGGATTGGCAAATATGACGATGATAATTACTGCCAGTAGCTCCCATCAAAAGCTGTAGAGTTTGCCCATTAAGCATCAGGTTTGCAAAATAACTATTTTTTTCTTTATTGATTATATCCTTATTTCTAGTACTTAGGGATTGAACCAGATCCTTGGGGATGGCTACCACGTATGCAGCACCCCTAGTCAGGCTTTACCATTTTGTTTTGGGCAATTCTAGAATACAGATGGAATGCCAAGCCTTGTGCATGCAGGGCAAATGCACTACCACCATTATATTATTTTTGATTGATGATACAAAGATCAGCGCACCTATTGACAGTGTTCATAGCATGCTAGTTGTAGATGAACATTTGTAGCATTTCAGATGACTGCCTTGCTGCATTCTATTCTAGATTTATATAATTCACATGTGGGGAAAATGCACACTTTGAATCTCAGATTTTTTAATTAGTGAATTGGACTCTTTTATGCCTCAATCCCATGCAGGTCGTACTCAGCATATGACTTTTTCTTTCAGTAATACATAAAATTTTGGACCTCAAGTTTAAAAGATCTTTGTACTTCAGGTTTTCATCAGTCCGGTTTAGAGAAGGGGGAAAAACTATTTTAAGAGAAAATTGATATGTCCTCATCCATACTATGATTTAAATGTAAGCATAGATGTGGGTAGAGATAAGACAGCAAGAGAGCAAGGAGACAGAGAAACACTGAAAGAGAGAAAGAAAGAGACAGAGAGAAAATCCTTCCTTAATAGATGTTTGATCTTTTTCTTTTGGCTTCTTTTTCTGTGGGTTTGGAATTGGAGTTTTTGAGACAGAGTCTTGCTGTCTAGCCCAGGCTGGCCTGAAACTAGAGATCCTCTGCCTCAGCCTCCCAAGTGCTGGCCATTACCCCCTTGACCCCCAGGCCCAGCTGATCTGGTCTTTTCTAGTTTTGTTCTGCCTTCGGGTTACCTGATACTAGTGCATCTTATCTAATGACCCAATACAGCCTGCATTCTAATGAAAGCAGCAAAATGATTGTCAGCTGCAATCTTTTTGGCAGCCTAATTTTGTAACAAAAGCCATTTTTCCTCCTTTATTTCCAGGTGAACTAAAAAAAGCAACCAACCAAGAAAGTCTAAAAGCATCACAATAAAACACTTCTTCAAATCTGCATCAAGATGGAAACCTTTTGCCTTAAGATTTCCTTTTGGCTGGCCCTGGTTGGATATGTAATGGGAGATAATCCTGAGAGATATAGCACCAATCTAAGCAATTACGAGGACGGCACTGGTTTTCACGGAACAGAGCTCAACCTCCTTGTCACCACTCATCGGCCCACGAATTTAGCTGTACCGAGCAATGGCTCAATGCACAACTACTGCCCACAGCAGACTAAAATTACCCTAGCTTTCAAGTACATTAACACGGTGATATCTTGTACTATTTTCATCGTGGGAATGGTGGGGAATGCAACTCTACTCAGGATCATTTATCAGAACAAGTGTATGAGGAATGGACCCAATGCACTCATAGCCAGCTTGGCCCTCGGAGACCTGATCTACGTGGTCATTGATCTCCCTATCAACGTATTTAAGGTAGGAAATAACTGTTGGTGTGTTTGCAGATGTGAACACAGGTTGTGATTCCACAGTAAGAAATTCTGCTGTTTTTACCGAGTTGTTTCTGCCATCTTAAAAATCAGTGCCTCATCAAGATTTTGTTTTTTGTAACGTATCTCACTTACCATGCCACTTATTTGCTAACAAAGCAGTGTTTGCGGATGATGCTTCAAAACCATGATGCTTCATGAATTCTTGTGCCAGCATTTAGTGTGCTGGATAAAGATTTTTTTTTCTTTTGGCCAGTCCTGGAGCTTGAACTCGCGTCTTGGGCACTGTTCCAGAGCTTCTTTTGCTCAAGGCTAGCACTCTACCATTTTAGCCATAGTGCCACTTCTGGCCTTTTCTGTTTATGTGGTACTGAGAAATTGAACCCAGGGCTTCATGCATGCTAGGCAAGCACTCTACCACTAAGGCACATTCCCAGCCCCTAGATAAAGATTTTTGAGAAAAACTCTGGAGTTTTCCTGAGATTGTGTTGTCAGGTTGAGACCTACTGTCCCCCAAATTCTTAAAATAAATATAACTTGAGTTTTAGTTACTTTTCCATGTGGTGGTGTTCACGGTTCATAAATCCACAATACTGTTTGAAATTAAAATGACCTGTTTTATGTTGACTGGGTGGATAATTCAAGTCAAAGGGTGTGCTGGCTTTTCTCTGTTATCTAGGTGACTTGGAGGTAATGGGGTGCACCCGGTAGCAGGCCAGGAGTGATCTCATGCAGTATTACTAGAACCATGTAGACTAGGCCTGGCATTACTCTTGTCCACTTCACTGCTTTTAGTTTCTGTTTACTAAGTACTCTCTGCATGCCACCCCTGAATGAGGCAGTAGGATCCAGAGACAGATAAGAAAAGTGATTGCTTCTGTGGGAATGGATGCTGACTATCCATTCATCACTGGTTTATGCCTCCCTCATCTTGCTTTAGGGACTATTTGGTCCTCAAAGCCAAAAAGAATGAGCTACTCTGCATTTGATATATTCATTGGGTAATAAGAATTCAACTGTAGGAAACTTCAAATGAAACTGGCATGATGTATATGCCTCATTTTATGAAATGTTTTTATCTTCAATCTAGTGAAATCATTTTCTTCCTCCCCTATTGTTATTAGTAGTGTTAATATTAGTATGTTTACTTCTTTCCTCCTCCTCCTTTTCTCTTTCTCTTCTTCCTCTTCTTCCCCTCTTGTCTTTCTTCTTCTTCTTCCTCTCTTGCCTTTCTTCTCCTTTTTCTTCCCCCTCCTCTCCTCCTCTTCCTCCTCCTCCTCCTCCTCTTCTTCTTTCTTCTTCTTCTTCTTCTTCTTCTTCTTCTTCTTCTTCTTCTTCTTCTTCTTCTTCTTCTTCTTCTTCTTCTTCTTCTTCTTCTTCTTCTTCTTCTTCTTCTTCTTCTTCTTCTTCTTCTTTCTCCTCTTTCTCCTCCTCCTCCTTCATCCTCTTCCTCCTTTTCCTCCTTCTTCTTTGAAGTATCCACGGAAACAAATTATTACAGGTGTTAATATGCTGAAATGTTACTTTAAGTGATGAGTTTTGTCAACTGAATATGAGTCCATTTCCAATAGATGCACTATAACTATTATGAAATCACATTAGCCTACCAGAAAAATCAGTGGTCTAACAGTAAGGATGAAAATAAGGATTATACATTAAAAACCATTCAAATCCATAGCATATACTGTTGGCAAAATTAGAGAAATTACATAATGAATATTTTTTAAACCTACCATTTCTTTCCACAGAACAGTATGAATTCATGTGTTTTCTATTTGAACTTAAAGTGGTCTTTTGGAACCAAACTGGGATGCATTGTTGAAAACATATAATTAATTTAAAATGTTTAGCATATGCTACAGAACGTATTTTTTCTTCCACAATGTTCTTAATTTTCCATTTGTGAGTTGCCATGGATACTTGACCCTCAACATCTCCCCTTAATGACAGATTTGGAAATGTTGGCATGACTTAGAGTGTGGCATATTGAACATTGATTGTTCATACTTAGCTAGCAGTTTTAACTAAGCCATCTTTGTTCTAAACAATAACTCATCATCCCTGAGTTAATAACTCCCTGCTGCAATTCATGCTGAAACACATGAAAGAGATTTGACCGCGTAGAAAACAGTGTCTTGGAAAAGTAATACATGCAACCACTGAGAAGGAAACCTGCACATCTCTGAGGTACAGTCACCAGTCACCAGTCAAGACCTCATTTCCATTCCACAGTCAAATTATCTGAAATGTTTCCAAATCGGTGAAAACCAAAATAAAACTTTTGCTTCATGTTCATGGAACAACAGATGGAGAGTAACACACTTTTATTTAACCCATGGTTCTTCTCTTTTAGGGATCCTATACTTTTATGCAACTTTTATTATAATTGTAAATAATGTGGACAGTTAAGACTATGGTGTTTTTACATCACAGGAGTAAAGTTGTATAATTTCTGTTTTTTCCTTAATGAGTCATTTAATTAACATTAATTTTAGGAAGTCTTCTTAAGGTTAAAATAATATATTCTTTAGTCTTCTTCCAGAGGAAAAGAGAAAAGCACAGGAGTGACTTAGGCAGGCCCAAGTATTTAGGGATGGTCTCTCTGCCATCCTGCTCCCTGGTCAGGGGCCCATACCTCACTGCTGTTCCTTTGACTTCTGCCCAGGACAGTCAAGAGAAATGCTTCCAGGCAATGTGAGATCAGTCTCTCATTTCTGTCCTCCACCCCTGCCTCCTGCAGCTTCTGAGGCTTTGAAGTCTTTTGTGTATCTAACTGGTGGATTTTTCTGACCACATCAAGTTCACTGCTTCTATGTCACAGAACAAAGTAACCGTTGTCCAATTCACTTTGCCATTGTATTTAGGGACCTATGAAAATAATGTATATTTTTGAAGAACATTTTACTAAAAGAATGAATGTACCGGCCTTCTTTATCCTATCCACTATCAAGAGAATTAAGTTGAAGGAAAAAAAATGGTTGAACCTATCTGCTGTACTCTTCAAAGGAAGTTGAGTTTTCAAATCCAAGTTATTAACTGTGTTTAGCAATCTGTTTTGTCCTCAGTTCTAAGGTGTGTCTGTCTAGAGTCATATCAGAGTCAGCGTAAGTAGACATGTGAAGATTGTGTCTTTGGGCAAACTAGAATGCTGAGTCAGCTGTAGTGTGTCCCAAGAAAAAGAAGGGCATCATGGTATTGAATTGACACCATGTGCTCTTCCACATGAAAGGGCTGGTGGTGGGAATCACCATTGAAAAGCACCATTTGCCACTGCAGACATACGGGGTGGCACCAGATGGTCTGTGTGCATGGAAGAGGGATATTCCACACATGAGTTTCCAGAGGTGACTTTATCCAGTTTCTTCCCCCAATCTTTGTTACACTTAACAAAGCCTCCACTCTCTCAGAAATGGGGAGCTGTCCCCACCTGTCCCCACTGCCTCCCTGTTCAGCAATCTGGCCACCCTTTACCTCCTTCTTTCCAGTTCCTGATGTGCATGCCCAGCTCTTACAGGAATGTCATTGCTACCGCTAAGGAACTTTCTGTGCTCTAAGTAGCTTTCTCAGAGAGGCTAAATGTAGTTCCTTAATAGCTGCTGCCAAAGGCTTTGCACATCTTAGATTATGAAATGGGTTCACTCTGGCGTCATCTATGTGGCATTAAGAAATAGAACAATGAAGAGGAACTCCTCTGGCTCTTGCTTACATACACCCTCACATATGAGTGACAAAAGAATATCATACAATCTGAGAAAATACAATGCAGAGCAGAAGAAACCAAAGAAAACAAATGAATGCCAGCTGCTTTCCTGGTTTTCAAACATAAAAAGGCCTTTAAAATGGTAACATTGGAGAAAAGCTGTTACTAACCTGATCAAAGGATAACACTAATTTTTAGTTGTCCAAAAAACAGATAACATCACTGATGGCAATTGAAGACTAACAACAAGAGGAAGGAGGAAAGGAACGGAGCTAGCAGACCTTCCCCTCCACCCCAGCTTATAGCCTAAGCTGGAGATGGATTCAATTTGTTACAAAGTTGTATTGTCTTGGTTTTTTTTAATTCTTGAGAAGCATAAAAATTTAGCCAAGTAAATGAATATGCTCCTAAAACATTACATTTAGTAGAATGGCAGGATGTTGGAGGATCAAAAAACAATCCCCAATTAGTAAATGGCAATATTGACTAGAAATACAGAATTTGGTATTTCTATTCTTTCATGACTCATAGTATTATACTTATGTCAATGGAAAGCCTAACGTTTGCCTTGAAGGCAGGGGAGGAACTTGGTTCTGGATACTTTTGACATGTACTGGAGTCATGAGTCGTGGAGTTTCTACAAGTTTCTCAGCTACACCTGGCCTTTCACACAGAAACATGGATGAAAGAAATAGGGCAAAGAGCAAATGATACACAGGTACAAATGACACCACGAGAAGAAGCCTCATGCTTGCTTACAGGAACTTCTGGTGGCAGGAGGTTGAAACCAGGGCTGCTGTGAACAGTGGTAGAGTTGAATCATTTGTCCCGTTAGCCTGTGGCACCAAGTGGACGAATAAGAACCACAGTTACAGATCCAGTTACTGGTAATTCCTATTTCTGCCTTACTCTAACCCACCATCGCACATGGAGGACTGCACTCATTTCTGTAACAATACACAGTTTCTGTGTGAAATTGCCAGGAATATTTTGCAATGAAAAGTCAAGACTTCCAATATGTTGCCCTGGAATAGGATCTGAGCACTGGAGAAACCAGAGGATCTCACCCAGGGCCAACTACGTCCCTGTTCACACCTCACACAACGCTCAATGCTGGGCCACTGGGACCCTTCTACTTGGGGTAACCATACAAAAGTTGTGTCTTGACACAGCGACATACCAGGGCAATTTGTGTCTCAGAGACAGATTGCTATGACTTAAAAATTAAATGCCTTAAACACAGTTGATGTTCAGTAATACTTGTGTTTGTAATTTAATTTGATTAG